GTAGGGAAAAAGCAGTGGAAGATTAAATCGATGTGGAAATGAATATGGAATTCAGGGATGACTTCAATCTTTGCCTATGACACAGGAAGTTACTAGAAAGATTTCAATTAAATGTTTGTTAGTGAAACACCCCTTCATAAACTGAAACATAAGAGTAAAGATCAATTGATTTACTTTTTCCTTATTCATGGAAAGTAAAATTTCTGAAAAATGAGGTTAAGAAACATGCTGGTAATCCAGACATATCTCAAAATAATTAAGTAGTTTCTATATGAATCCTTGGAGAGATTAACATAAATAGATTGACTTTATTTTGCAAATCTTTATTTACAAGAAAACCACTTTCCAGTTAATCATTTAATTTGCCACTCCAAAGTGAATACAAATAGTGACCAACTATCAGGAATTAATTAAGGGGTGGGGAAGGGGTGTTGTCAGGAAATCAGAACAATGGTAAATTGAACCAGGTGTGAATTATCCAACAGATTCATTTAGTTTATTGTACAAAAAGAAAAAAGTGTGCATTTCAGGGGGACATCAGCCCCACTCCCCCCATCTTGTTGAAGTGCTGATGGTATGCTTGGTACTGTACAGCACATACTGAGGAAGACACGGTTCCTGTATCCTGGTTTTAATTTATAAAACTTAAAATAAAGCTTGCTCTCTTATCACAGTAGTCAGTTTTGTTTGAAATATCAGGTCTCTGAAGTGTCTGTCCTCTCAGGAGCTAAGCCAGCATGATCAAGTTTTGAGTACTAGGATATGAAAGGATTCCTTCATTCAGTATGATTTGGTCAACTGAAGATATTATAGCAGCTTTATTGGATAAAGTATTACCATCTCAAATTAGTCCAAATCACTTGCATCTCAGCTGCCAGAAATCTATCAAAACAAAGCATCTACCTCTCTTAATATTCTTCTGGTTTATTACTGTAATTCAATAGGGAAAACAGGCAATCTCTCTTTCCTATGAATTCATTTGGATACTACAGTGGTGGGCACTAAATGCTAGATAGGAAGACAGATAGAAAGCAAAGCATCAGATATTAGTGCAAACCAACTTTTTATTTGTACAAATATGTGCTACTGAAACAAGAACCTTTTCACACACGAGTGTCAACTTCTTGACATGGCAACTCTTAATGGAAGGATAAAAAGCCTCCTGTAGCTTCTACACAGCTTAATTCACTTTACCTCTCTCTTGAAAAAGATTAACGAAGACTTGAAGCAATCTCAGGCCCTGAACAGGTGTAATGTGAAGTGCTCCAAAAATAACCTACCAGGAGTATGATTTTTCATGTTGTGATGATTTTCTTGATTCTGTTTTCTACAAAACTCCTACCAAGTCAGAAACGTGAGATCTGAGAATCGGAAACTGATTCCTATTTACTGCTCGGAAACTTCAGTCAACTGCATATCCATTAACTCAACTATTGAACAAGCTCACACTGGTGTGCTCTTTTGATCTTTTCTAGTACTGCTAAAACGAAATCTGCCAAACTGCTATTTCATATCAGTAATTTGTTTGAAAACTTGCTTTACTGTTCGAAATCCATCCACTCCTTCCACTGTTCCTGCCTTGCTTACAAGAGCCATATCAACACAGCCCTTATTTGAGGGAAGGATCCTATGGTGCAAGCAATATAAAATTAATTAAATGCTGCCTTTTCCAAGCAGTTCAAGCATAAAACAACAGTTCCTTACTGGAAAACAAGGTGAATTTATTCTTACCATTTTCATCTACAGCAAGGACACTTGCTCCCTTCCCTAAGAGTTCTTGAACTACAACTGTCAATCCATTTCGGGCAGCAACATGCAGAGGTCTGTGGAGAAGACAAGCAAACCAAGACATAAGCCGAAAACAAATTATAATATTTTAGGAACCTATAGTTTAAGTAACAATTTAAAATGAACCCCCCCACAGGAAATTACGTAATCATATTTGTTCTGTCTTATGACATATTTCTTTGTAATGGAGGAAATTACTACCTACATCAAGTGTGCCATACTACATCCAAAAAAATTAAGAAGAATATCATCCTAAATGAGCAGGCAGCAACAATTCTCCTAGTTTTAGAACTAATACATCAGCTATATGTAATCCTTCACTGAAATCTGAAGTTTAGATAGTGATATAACTGGGAAATACGGCCTGTCATTGACAATAACCTTTTACAAGAATACAAGGACAAGCAGGATGGTAGTCATGTTCTATTTGTATATAGCGTAGTTGAAATGTGATGCCTCTCTTTTAGACAGTTTGACCTTTAGAAACTATCTGTCTCTGTAGATAGAATCATTTCCTCAGTTTACAAGGAATGTGTCATAACCCAAAGGTATGATTTTGTGTGTGCTTCGGCACCAAAATTATCCCCGCCAGGTTGCAGCTTCATTGCACGGTGGAGTTTTCTGTTGCGGAGGAAAACTCCGGTGCAGGGATGAGTTTCCCGCCTATTTGCAGCTTCTTTTGCAGGGTGCATTGCTCAAGTTACAAGAGAAATGCACGGTGCAAAGGAGTTCCCGCCACCCGCATGCAAATTGGTTCCCTGCTATTGGCTAGTTCTAAATTATTCACACGTGGCGGCTAGCGATTGGCCTGTTAGCCGTATAAGAGGCTTGAGCGGTTTCC